AGGAAACAGAGTCTGTGGAATGCAGTCGAGTGGAATCAAAAGATAAACAGGGGCGGGGGGGGGAGAACAAATGATATTTTAAAGAAATTGAAAGGAGAGAGGTTTTAAAACTATTGAACAAAACCTGGTTTGTAATGCCCCAGGAGTAGGTGTTCGAGATCGAAGTTCAGTGACATATTAACTGCACTACGATCACCATCGATGTTGGTTTGTGCATGGCGAGTAGTGCATTAGGAGGTGGAGCAGCGGAGGTTGGCGTCCCGATGGACAGTTTTAGAAAGGAGATCATTGATAAATAGATGAAAGAGAGTGGGCGCAAGTACTGGACATTGGAGAGCACCAACATTCACAGGAAACGGCCAAGACAGAACCTCATCATCTTGGACGGAGATATTCACGCTACGAGCGTCGGAGGGAACCCGAACCCGGGTAGTTTCGTCAGTAGACTTTCGTAACAAACTCGGTCGAACACCTTTAAAATGTCAAGCGAGATGAAGTGTGTTTCTCTGTGGTTATCGAGTACAGCTGCCCAGGATTGTGAGACAAGAGCCAGCAATTCACGCTGGCGCTACTCGCATCCACACTGGCTTCCGCTCAGTTGTCCTCCACGTTCCAGGAACGTTTGAGCAGGATAATTTGTCAGATTTTATGTGGTGAGGTTGTTCGTAATGACCGACAGAGATCCCTGAACAGTACTCTCATCCATATTAAGACTCCTGGTCAGTGCGTACATTTTGTGTCCTTGCGGGGATGGACACACGCAATCTTCCACACGAGAGCCGATACCCTTAAGCTTGCGGTACACAATCGACGGTCAACACCAAGCCTATAGTAACATCACTCGACTGACTAAGCAATCGTCCTAGTCCATATAATTTCGCAATCATCAGGTTTTGTGTTTTGTGTGGGTCTTGCATCTTGAATGTTTTTATCATTACCCATTCTATTCTCCACGTTTTATTCCCAAATGAAATTGTGTTTCACGGACCGCATTTGTTCATTGTGACCACATTCTACCAGCCGCGTAGGGCCTATTACGGAATGAGATTATCGAATGTTGATGTTTTTGGTTCGTTTGCATCCGTTTCGTATGCTAGTCAAGATTCGTTTCGCCATTTTACCGGGCTGTGCTTTTGTTCTTAAAACGTCGCGATTGAACACTCGACAGCGGTTTGTACTCGGATTAGTACTTTTCTTGCACATGATTTTAATTTTCACGTTCTTGAGGAACAGTGTCCCGGTTGAAGAACAGTGTGGTTATGCTTGACTTGCTCGAAGACACTGAAACGTAGAGATGCTTATTTTTGTGTTTTACCTTTGATATTTGTCATGTGTTGTCATATTTGTGCGTGTAAATCAAACGTGATTCGTGGTTCGCATTCTCGTTCAAGTAACACGCGAGACTGATTTGTTTTGTTTGGCTTCTGTTTGGTCATGCAAGACGCACATTGTTTGGGGTCTAATTTGTCCAGCCCGACGAGACGAAAGCCGAGGTATTTGTTTCACACACGAATGCGGGTTCACACTGGTACTGGAATGAACAGTTTTGGAATACTGTTGAATTGCTATCCCGCTGTGACTTTTTAGTGCTGATGGTTATGTTTGAGTGATCGCGTCTGATAGATGTTTGATTTTGTGGCTGATCTTCAGAGTTTCCGAGCAAGAACCGGAACTAACGCTATCCAGTTCACCAATGGTGTGCACCAAAACCGGCGCACGAAAGTGCATGGTTAATGGTTGTAAAAACTCGAACTCATAGTGTGCATGGAGTAAGAGGCAGGTTGTTGATTCTGCATTTAAAGGGTGTAAGGTTGTAAGTTGGAGGAAAGACAGAAAGTGGGAGAGTGTTCCACAACTTGGCAGTTCTTGAGGGCAAAAGAAGATTGAAGCAAAGATGTACGACATCTGGGAACTGAAATCTGAAAAGGCGGGCTAGATGCCTGTGTATGTGATGAGCGGACGAAAGTTTCGGGAAGAGAAACTGCTGAGGCAAGTTCCGAAGAACAAAAAACAGTAGAAACAGTAGAGCAGGGATAATGAAGCAACTGTCCGACGATGGGCTAGTAATGGTAACCAGAATCTTCCACATGAAAGCCAAAACCCTTACACTACTGGTACGCAATCGACGGACAACACTAAGCCTACGAATTGACTAACTAAGTTATCGTCTTAGCCCATATAAATTCGCAGACATCAAGATGTGTGTTTTATGTGGGTCTCGCATCTTCAGAGTTGGTTATCACCCATTTCCACGTTTCTTTGTCATTTTGACAACGATTTGTTTTTATTTTTTTATTTTTTTTATTACACACCTAGGTGTGATGAACATCAGACGGGGCAAAAACCCTATAGTCACGAGGACCTGCTGTTCAGTGGTTGAAATCGGCAACCTAAGCCCCGGAACTTGGAGTAGCGAACCACATAAGGCCCCGATAGGTTAGGCGTGGTATTGAACCGGACGACAGCAGAGCTGCCTACCTCTCAGTGATCAGTGATTTTTTGGAAACCCGCTGTTTTTTCTGGAATGTTTATCAATCATTCACGGGCTATAGTGAAAACACGATGTAGTCGATCATCATGGTGATGGAATTGAGCTGCAACTTTACATTGAAGGAAGTTTGAAACACTTCAAATTATGATTTGGAAGCGTCGAGGGAAGAAGATAAGAGACCTGTTAATGGTTTTCTGTCTTGAAATCAGTTCCTCAGTTCCACGTTCTGAACAGACTACCTGGTTCATTAGCGTTTGCGGAATTTTGATTTAAATTCGTCAGAATCCATACCCCGGTTGAATGAAAACATATGACAAGACTTTACAGCAGATGTTTGCAAACAATACCATGACAAGTAATTCAACAAACTTTGCGACACCGTGAATCTTTTTCTAATCAATTTCTCGGATTACGTTATTCAATTTTTGTCGGACTGTGAGGTTATAGATGAGGTTCGTGGACAAGCGCGGGATATTCCGGGGNAAGTGACGTTTCAAATGACGGTAGCATAGCCATTGAAGTAACCGTCCGCATTTCCAAGGCTCGAGCAGCTTACGCAGGATTGATACACCTTTGGTGCAGACGCGATGTTTCGTTAAAACTGAAAGGTCGCGTATACTGCGCCAGTGTGCGGCCAGTACTGCTCTACGGTTGCGAGACCCTAAATTTGCGCGTGGAAGATATTCGTCGTCTTGAAGTATTCACTGCAGATGTTTACGTAGTTTGGCGCGGGTTGGATGGAGCGAGCTTGTAAGCAACTCTGAGGTGAGGCGTCGCGTATTTGGTAATGATTCGATGGAGAATTCGTTGTCCCATCAGATTCAGATTAGTTGGCTTCGCTGGTTAGGACACGCATTGGCCATATCCAGCCATCGTCTGCTGCACCGCGCCTTATTCGCAGTTGCGGCTCCAGGTTGGAAGAAACCGCGTG